TAGTACGGCCAGGAGCCCCTAGTACCGTTCTTGCTCCTAGTAGCGATGCCCTTTGTTCTTGAGACTGAGAAAGTGGTGAAGCTTATGGGTCTGTACTTGGTGTGTGCGAAAAATGCCTAAGAGATGCAGCTGACCAGAGTCTAGCCGGAGCCCATGCAAGCACTTCAGGGATGCAAAGGTTCAAGAAGGCTTCTTCTGCCTATTGTTAACCTCCTACAATTGGGGCAACAACACTGAACTTTGTAAACAATCTTGCTTCAAAATCGCAAGGAGCACGATGTCCATTCCACAATGCGAGTGTATTTAAACAGTGATAAAATCGGCATTCCATGGCATCGTGACAGTCCTTGCTCAACCCACTTGCCTGAGTGGTTTCTGTCATACCTCAGAGCCAGCGCATCTGCTGCTTCATGAAGCACGCGATTGGTCAACGTCTGATTCAATAACCAAGAGGATTCGGGAACCATGACTCGATAAAAACCCTCTGATTCGGCAACCAAGAGCGTTGATTTGGCAACCAGAACCCCTTTCCAGCCATATGCTATAAATATTCTTTGTTGTATGTCACTTATGTCTATAAATTAAGAAGCTACTAGGGCCTAGGGGCTCCTGGCCTTACTACTAGGAGCAAGGGCGCTACTGGGGGCTCCTGGCATCGCTACTGGGAGCATTCTTTAGTTCCTGAATCGGCGAATGACCCACGCGGTTCGACCCTAGGCGCCCTTGCTGGCAGGGCCGCTGCTCCATTGGCGCAGGCCGAACCTATCACTCGCCCTGGTCAATCCAGGTTTGAGCCAAACTGATTGCAACAAATGATCCGAGCAAACGCAGTTCATCATCCGTCTGCGACAAGTCTCAACGTCTCAAGCTTGAATAACCTGAACCCGAGACCATACACGTCTAAAGCGTTTGTGAAAGCGACAGGTGAAGTCAGAGACCGAAGTGAGCGAAGTGACTGAAGCCGTAAGCAAAAAGATAATAAAGAAAGCAAAAGGGTCCAAAGGTCATCAAAGGTTATCATAGGTCTAAACCAAATAACTCTTGCCGTTTGTAGTAGCAATGGGTAGTTCAACCTCATCCTTTGGACCTCTCTTTCCTTAGAGAGTCAAAACGTTTTTCTTTCTTCCTTTTGTCTTTTTTCTTTCTGCCTTTATGCAATCAGACCTTTCTCAGGTGTTTCTTGGTTGCTATGTTTCAATTTGTTAGTTTCTTTGCAATGGCCACTTTTCACAGTTAGGCAGCTACCAGCTCCCCACTGTAACCCCCGCCCGCGCCACGCCGTCGCAGGCAGCCATATCAGCTTCTGCAGGCAACCCGACAGGGTCAATTGGAACACCCCACGTTCGTCCACATCGAATTTTCTTGAAGAGAGACTAACAATCACAAGAGCTTTTCCATTCACTACAATTCTCACAGTTTGTCGGGCTTAGTCTGACATGGCTCTGAAAAACTATGGATTCGCTTCCGTGAAGGACACTCTGCGAGCTTTGCCCACATCCGCAATCCCTTCAGTTGCCTGGCAGTTGATGAAAGCACTTCTTTATGGCAAAAGCACCACTGCACAAAGAAACCCCATGGAATATGGATCCGGAACTTCACACTTGGACATACGGGCATAGGCTCAGGAAAATCGTAGAATGGTTGCTTTAGATCTGGCGAAAGCGCTTTCTGTTTTGGTACCTCAGGGCTTGTAGTAGATCTAATTAAAGGAGCACAAGTCCACCTTTTTCTGCCTTTTGTCATGAGGCTTTCAAGCTTGGAAAAACGTTCTCAGCCCTAAGCACAGTTGAACAGGCCGGGAAGGCTGAAGAGGAAAGAAATGTCTTCCGCGGAAAGCCGTTGCAAGGCCTTGAAGCAAGAGAACGCTACTCTGCCGCAAGACAATGAAACGACGCATAGCCACATAGCCTGATTGCTGTTTCCCACGGTGCAGTCGAAGACCATTTGTTTCTTCTCTTGCAGCTCGATGATCTTCTCCTCAATTGTGTCTGCCTCAGGCACCAAAACGCAACACATGTTGCCGGAGAATCTCCCTGACCTCAACGAGAGTCTCCCTTACAATCTCTCCTTTTTCGCACCAACACAACCGGAAAAATGAAGACTTTCACGCGGCCTGCGGGCCGTCTTTCCCTTCTTTTCGCCAGATTGATGGTGTGTCGTCCATACTGACAACCAAGCTCAAGACAGCCACCAGTCGAAGAGCTTTCACTGGCCGTACTTGTCCAATTCGGTGTGCACCTGATGACATTAATTTTTGAGATTTGCACTGGGGGCACAGCGTTGACATGAAGACTACAAGCATCCGACGCTGGATCGCTTGAGCTTCGGCAGCAGGATTCCACCTGGCTTGACAAGGTTTCCGCAGATTCCTAGGAACAAGGGCATCGCTACTAGGGGCTCCTGGCATCGCTACTAGGAACAAGGACGCTACTAGGAACAACGCTGCCCACAAGAATCCTTTGGAGGGCATCAGGTCTGGCTGAAAGGCGTGCTTCAGCCTTCAGCAAAAGTGTTTCTGAAGGTCTCAGATCTTCACTATGCCCTACTATTTAAGACTTAAAATTTCAGGGGCGGCATGCTCCAACCTAACAGCAACGGCCTCCAACCTGATAGCGATGGCCTCATGCTACCCCGTTTGATCCAAGAAAAGGTTGTCAAGTTGGCCGAAAGACCAGGGATCCATGAGGAAGATATGATCTGCCGCCTGCAAGTTGAGGCCTTCGCCTTTCAGAAAAGGACACATCAACGCAAAACACGGCTACAGATCGGTCATGACACTCAACTCAAGCATTGGGTCTGGACAAAACATTTAGGAAAGCGCTAAAGTAAGTGAGATCCCAAGCTGTAGGAAGCAAGTTCAGTCATGAAGTGGAGGATACAAACCCTGAAAAGCCAAACGCTGAGACAAATGGGAAGCGAGGTGGGCAATGCAGCCCAACCATCAAACCCTCCGGCAGCGATTCTTCCGCTATCTCAAGAGGCGGGCCTCCCGCTTTCAAGGAGATCAGGAGCACTTTGAGCGTTGGCTCTGTCTGGAAAGACACAATGATATTGTTCCTCGCGAAGGAAGAGGGGCTCTGAGAACTATAGGTTCTCAGTTCTGCAATGGATGGATGTATATTAATCGTAGTGGGTGGCAGGGCTGCCTCACATGAAGGGCTGTAGAGATAAACACCCCCATAAAAGGTGATGTTTCCCTAGGACAAGTGCTGAAAAAGTAAATTTTCTAGAGAAAGGTGATGAACTGATGTTTTATGAATAGAAAAGTACGCGCAAACAAGCATAAGCACAAAAAAGTAGAGAGGTCCACCAAAACAGTGCACGTTCCTACCCCAAGCACGACAACACCATATGACATTACCACACATCAGGTCATCACAGTGCAAACAAAACACTCCTGTTGTGACTTGACTAGTTAAATGAACAAAAGTACTTTTAGTTTAAGGCCGGGCTGGTTGCTACATAGCTACTTGTAGTTACTAGATGCAGCATCTAATGCGTTTCTAGCCTTTGACTCCAAAGTGAGGTAGCATGCCAAAAAAACATCCGCTCAAAAACCTTCGAAATACACAACTGCCTGCCCATTCAACCCCCCAAAAAACTACCTTTAAAATATCCCGGCCCAACAGCATTCAACCCGCCTAGGCCTAGAACACACAAGTAAAGAAACATCCAAAAACTTAAACAAACCCGCTGCAAACACAAAAGACACTCTTCACAAGTACCAAACGAAAAACGCGAACAAGCCCCGTATACATACAAAAAGATAAGCCGTTTCATAGAATAACAATGAGCAAAGTATGTGGTTCTGAACATCTTAGTAAATAGAGCGATAGGTAGCTACATGATGCAAAAGCCGTAGGTAGCTACAGGACAGCAGCAGCTCCTTGCTGATAAAAGACGCGTAAAGTTTACACAATAGCACTACACCTTTGGTGACGCAGCTCACCACTGCATGAACCAGCAGCTGGACATATATATACCCCTGTTTCTGCACAAGAAATGCAAACGTATGTTCCTATCTACTCAAACATACATGCCAAAATTGATGCCTTCAAAACCAGCAGGCTACAGCAAAAAGAATTGAATCCTCGACTCTCGCCCCAAAGCAAAAACAGTTGGGCGTCTAATCGACACCTCATCCCTGACACCTGACCCATTTTTTGGGACACCTGCAGAATTCGAGCCATAGGATTATCAGCAAGCATGCGTGCACATGAAAATGGAATCTATGTTAGAAGGATTTAGAAGGTACTCAGGACCCCCTGATCAATCTAATTGGGGGCAATTAACAGACCCAGTTTATCTAATAAATCTATGTATATGCACACATAGGTTTCCAAATTGTGGAATGATCTTGTCAGAATGGTTGTTGCAGCATCGTGCCTCCACACAAGCTTACACAAATGAGCATCTCCATATCGATCCTAGTATACTTCCCGCGTCTTTGGCGGACCAACGGTGTAGTTATAGGTGGGTCCGCCCACTACTCAGTGCATATGCACTCCTTAATGCAAATGTTGAAATGTCCATCCACCGGCTCTGCCTGGATCTATCCCTATGTTATTTTGCTTTTGGTTTCTTGTTTGGTTTGTATGTCTCATGCGGCATCAGCAGGGGGCGCAGGGACATGATGGGATACCTGTGACAAGGTGCCCTTGAGTGGATGAACACCGATTTTAGGTTGTTGAATTTAGGTAAAGTCAGGAAGTCATGTGAAGCTCAGAACCCGGATGTCACCACTTCGTTTATACCCCCAGCTTGTTCTGGCCGTTTCCTTAGAAGGTTCAGGTGATAATGACACCTTCACACATTACACTTCTCTACACTTTGACTCTTGCTGCGTCCTGGAGACGATGGGCATGCTCCCCAAGACCGTGGCTGCAGAGATGCCCTCGCGCTTTAAGCGCCATTCGATGAGCTCTAAGAAGCGAGTGAACTGCGAAAAGACCAGTGCCTCTGAGACGTCAAACGGAAAACATCAGAAAACGAAAGGAAAGAAGGAACAAGGTTCGCTACTAGGAACAAGCTACTAGTAACAAGTGCCTTACTAGTAGTAACAAGAAGCATAAGAAGCTAGTAGAAACAATACACCAAGTGTGCACGAGCCACGAAAAGATGGCATGGGTTCTGAGTTATGCCGACTTGAAGTAGGCTGAAGGCATGGCGCATGGCCCACATGGCACAAAGGCATCCAAAAGGCACCTTGCTTGTGGCATCCGTGGACTCCATCTTCTTGATCTCCTGCACCAAGGCTTCGATCTTCGTGGAGCTTTGAAACTCGGAGGTTTTGATCTTCTGCATGATGCCTGGCAGCAGCAAGCCATGCACAATTGAGGTGCAAAACACTTACACAGGCGAGGAGTGCTGCTTCGGCCTGAAGCTGAAGAGAAGCAGCCCAATGGCCCAATCCAACAAATCTGAAACCGTCCCACAAAAGTCCTTCCAAATGTGACATAGGATGAAGAAACACACCTCCTCGCCCACGGATTTTGGGTCCTTTGTCGGCATCACCTGATCCAAGGCATTCAACTTTCAAGGCCGAATGGCCTCCACTCAGGTGACCTGCCACGGTGTCTTCCTCGACTATGTCATCATCTCCTTCTGCCTAGGAACAAGGGCATTGCGGCATCGCTACTATATAGCAAGGTTCTCGCCCTTTCTTTTTCCAGCCAGCGTCTCAGGCTTGGTGTGTGGTGGAAACATGGCCTTTTTGGCCCTTTGCTCCCACACAAAAACTTGCAACCAACAGCAGGTCGAAGCGGAGGTGAAAGGGGTGGTGGAGGGATCCTTGAGCGGAAACGACGGTTGGTCATCTTGCTATTTTGCCAGCAAGGTTCTCGCCCTTTCTTTTTCCAGCCAGCGTCTCAGGCTTGGTGTGTGGTGGAAACATGGCCTTTTTGGCACTTTGCTCCCGTCTGCCCCTCTGATCCGGTCGAGGTGACTTCGTGAGCCTGCTGTTGGAATAAAAGGTTCCACACTTTTTCAGGGAATCTGGCATTGAAGAATCTGATGCTTTCTTGTAGCACTGTCGTGAAGGCCTCCATCGCGGTCAGAATCAACTGTCGGGAGGTGTCAGGGATGTCTGTCATGAAAGTTGCTGCCGCCACCTCCTGGAGGTAAATGTCCATCACTTTCAAAGAGACCCATCGGCCTCTGCGCCGCACAACTTCTGCAGATTCTGTCAAGCTAATTAAGTATGTAGCCCCTCCGGGCCTGAACGATGCAAGCGTCAGAGGTTTCTGCTGGTTCGTCATCTTAATCGGCAGGCCCAGCTTCAAAAGAACTTTGTCCAGCCTGTGCCTCAGAGTTGATGGAGATCCAGGCCAGATCTTCTCATGAGGCTGTAGTCTGCCAATACCAATCCAGGCAACCATGATCAGGTCAGGAGGCTCAAGCTTGCTGGATTGATGCCGAGCTGCTCGAAACCTGGTTTTCGGCTCCAGGATGCGAATGAGGACGTGGTCTACAGAAAATCTGACGTCCTGTGGAAAAATCACATCTTTCCTGCGGGCGTTGATGATCTCCCCGCTTCTCAAAAGCATACCCCAGCACATTGCAAAAATAGCAGCTTCCCTGGTCCAGCCCCATATGAGGCAGGTGGATAGAACTGCTAAGAGCAATTGCACCGGCATCGCCCGATGATGCTCCACTGGTTCAAAAGAGGGCCACATAGCACATAAATCCCACGCTTGCTGAAGCGACCTCCTGAGGATCGGACGGCGAGCACTGACCAGATTAATGGTCTCGGACAGATGATAGTACGGCTTCCCAGCAGAGAAGAGGTAGCGCCCATACCTGGTCAAAATGGCATTAATCCTGTCCAGGTCAGGAGGATTGGCATGGAAAATCATGTCAAAACTGAGCCCTTGATTTCGCAGCCATCCCTCGAAGACTGCAGCGAGTTGGCTCCGAACTGAAACGGTCAGGGGAGTCAACCTTCGTCCATCCGGCAGCTCGAGGCCCGCTCTCTGCCTCTGCCGCTCAGCATCACCATGGCTCACCCCTACCGCCCGATCTACGTCCATTGAGGCGAGGATCCAAAGAAAACCAAACCACCGGTAGGGTCTAGGTCCCTCCCCAGGGAAACCCAAAGTCGAGTCAAAATCCATGAGAAGGGGAGGGTCAAAAGCAACGAGGGGACCATAGCGCCTGAGTGACGAATGATCTGAGAAGAAGCCAATCCAGCAAGGACAGAGCAGGATGCAAAGACGGAGCCAGTTTGATGCCCATCTCCGAAGGCTACGCACAGAAGCCAACCACCTCAGTTCCTCCTCGTCAAGAGTATCGACCGAAGAAGCAATTGGTGGCAGAATAGCAGCATCTCTGGTAGGATGATCTGCTGGATTGAGTCTAGTAGGAGCAAACCTGCCAGCATGGTAAAGTCCATAAGCGACGGAGATTGTGCTAGCCCTTTTCAGGAGCATTCTGAGAGCTCCAGATGCACTTCTACCTCTGATCAATGCGCATAGCGCCACGTTGGAGTCAATGAAGCTCACAAAGCGCAGGTCTCCACCTCTAATAGCCTCAGCTTCAAAAGCCCTGAGAGCAGCCGCCATCTCAAGGATGTTGATATGGGAGGAGCCTCTCCATGACCAACTTGCTGATACCCTCCAGACAGCTGAGAGCAGTACCTCATTGGACAACTGATCCTCAAGGCCTGGAGCTTGTTTCAGACCAGCAATCTCTTCTTCCACCTTCAAAATGTGGCGGGCAAAAACACGAGCGAAAGCCGTTGCGAGGCCCGGAGTGTAGGTGGCACTGGGCTTAGTAAACTTGCCTTCAATGCGAACATGCCTGTGGTCTCGGGAACACCTTCTGCTCAAAGACCTGGCATTCATACTCACAACCATAAGAGCAAACTCCTTCTGGTGGGGCGAGCCATAAGCACATGATGCGAGGTGTATCTCATCAGCTCCTAGGACCCGAAGCCGGATCCATTGGGGAGTCCAGCGAAGCTTTGATCTCCTAGGTGTCTCCATCATCGCTGGAGTTTTTGTTCGTTTTCCAACCATCAGCAGGCCCATGCAGGAAAAAGCCATGTCATTCCCATGCACTACCCGAGGATGCTTTGGGTCAATGCCCAAGGGCTTCTTGTAGGTTCGAAGGCATGGATGAGCTGCAGGACTGAACGTAGTGCAAGGGGGGGCAGCCATGAAAGAGCGAAGGCGCCCTTCTTCACACATAAAAGCAACCCAAGAAAAGACACGTCGATCTGTGATGTCAAACCTCCTGGAATAGCTGATGTCAAACACCGGCCCACAGACTGCTCCAAGTTTGATGAGCTCCTCTGTCACGACACCAGCCCCTCCACACAACTCAATGAAGTCATACCTGAGGCCAACAGGCCTGGGCACACTCTCCTCAGTCCACTGTAGATCATCCTCCTGCTCGACCTCCTCAAAGTCAACAGCTCTGATACGATGTAGAGCAGCAGTCTTCGTCTGAAGCTTTGGATTCTTTGCTTTCTTTGGGGCTGTCCTCCACAAAACTCTTGACAGCCTCTCATCAACAGGGGCCGAAACCAGCCCACCTTTTAAGGATGAGGAGTCAGAAGCATAGACTGTGTCGGAAAAGGGCACTGCAATGTTGGAGGCGGCCACCGGAGCCAGACATGCTAAGACTAGCAGCTCTTCCGCAGCGCATCGAGGCAGAGGATGTAGAGAGGACCTCTCAGGATCCAAAACTTCCGGAGGTATCACTGAGAAGAGCCTGTTGACATGGGCCATCATCGGCCTCCGATAGAGCAGAGCGGAAATCCAAGACCCTAGGAGGGACGAATGTAGGGAGTCGGAGGTGTAAGGTAGGCCAGCTGCAAGGGCGCTGAGCATCATCAGACCAAACCTCTTGTCGGCAGGAGCACCCAGGCTGACAATACCTCTTTTGACCATCTTCTCTGAGGAATTTACTTCAGCCCCAATGACCTTGTAGTGCAGGGAGTCAGCAATCTCCTTGTCGTCTGACCCTAGTATACCTTCTCGCTTGTATGCCTCGCGGGCCCGCTCAAGGAAGACCCGAGAAGCACTTGGTCCCTCATAGGTGTCACCACGGGCATACGCGATCTCCTCCGCTGACAGTGCAAAGAAATCATCTATGACCAAGCCGGTAACTGGCTTATTGTGCAAGATAGGTTGGGAGGCACAAAGTCGATTGAAGCTCGGGTGACATCCAGACTCCTCCAGCATTGTCTCATGAGCACAACAAGCAACCTCGACTCCAATGTGATCCCCTTGGAATAAGGCACCAAAACTGGCGTAGACCATGCTTGAATCCTCTGTAGGCACCAGCAAAGGCCTTGGAGCCCCAAGAAAGTCACCTGTCTCCTCCCTACCTCTTCCTCTCCTCGTGCCGAAGTCCCTCTGAAACACCTCATAAGCAGAAGTTCCTCTGAAGTCCCCCAAGGAGAAGGGAGGGAAGACTGTGTTCGTAGATGATCTTTCATAGGTGGTGCTGAACTGGTGGTAGAAGTCCCGTCTGTCTGCAATGGCCCCGACCAGGACCTCCTCAAAACGCTTTGTCTCAAGCTGCAGAAGGGAAGTTGCATTCGGAATCTCGTGAGATGGGCCTCCTTCAAGTTGACCCTCAACGTAGTTTCTTCCCCGGCGGTCGCCTATCTGACGGTCAACATCTGCGTTCTTGAAGTTCCCAAACACCTTTGTATGGAGATGGCGCTCCCCCCTCCCAGGACCAAGGTCGGCAGGACAAGCCGTAAGAGATCATTAGCATCCCAGACACGGCAAAGATCATAAACCTGTCCGGCCTCCTCCTCCTTGACTTCAGGAAATGCACCTCGAGGTGGAACAATGTCAAACCTGATCACCTCCGGTTCCACGAAGGGCATGTAGAGAAGGTCGGACAGGAAATCCGAACAGTCCCAATTGCCTCTGCCGGTTAGCTTGATCCGGGAGGCATCAAGTGCTCTGTAGGGGCGAAGCTCATCACAGAGAGTGTTGTCCTCGGGCACTACCACCCCAGCTGCTCCTCTGTGATACAAAGATGCTGAACTTAGCCCCAGCGCATCCAAACTTTCTCTCAACTCTCTCAAACGTGCATCTAATTGAAACTTCTTCCGTCCACAACCAGCAAGAGAAATGAATGCTGGTGGGCCGCACGCCTCGAAAAACGTCAAGATGCGAGCATAAACTGCCCGATGATGAGCACCTGGACGTCTCCGGATGAGCCGTAGAATGGACATTGGTTGCCGGAAGTGCTCATAGTTCAAAGTCATGACAGTGAGGTGCAAGAGCTTCCTCACAGCATGCAAATGGCGCTTCTTCTTGCTGCTCAAATCCGGGCCATCGCCA